GAAAACTAAATATATATATATATATATATTCTCAAAAAAAAAGTGTTCTCGTTATTGGATTGGCTTTTGGCAAATAACATATATAACAAATGACCTAGTAGTCACTTTTGACCTAGCTTTCAGTAACAAAAGCACTGCAAATAATATATGTCACTAGTATCTGAACTAAATAATCTCTTACAACAATAATTTTTTAAAGCACAATTTTAAATAGCTAAAGGATTTGAATAGACATATCTCCTAATAAGATACATGTAGGATTTCCACTTGACCTGACTAAAATCATCTTGGTGGTGTTAACTAACATTTTGTCTAGTGACCTTGGCAGGCATTCCAAACCCTATAGAATAAACAAAGTTGAACAGATTGTCAGTGGAACATACCCTGCCAAACCCCAACTGTTTTGTAACTGACATAAATAGTTTCTTGGAAAGCTCAGGTATATTCCACTTAATTGTGGTCCACTGAGTTCTACCAAAGCTTCCTTTTGACCCTCCGCCCCTAGTCTGGTCCCCTTTGCTCCGCTGTTGCCACCAGAGTAACTTTCTGAAACAGACTGTCCTGTCCAGTTTGACTCTAGGTCACGTAAGACGCAATCGTAACCTTCTGCCGGCATTCATAGCCTCCTCTCCACTTCCCCTCCCACTCTCCACTCCACACCCCTTCATGCTCGGTAACATAGGCCTTGAACATTCCTGAACACTTTCTGCTTCCGGGCTTTACTGCAAGCTCTAATCAAGGCACAACAATCTGTTTTGCTGACTCTTACGTGATAGGTGTTTGCACAACTTCAGACAAGGATCAAGATGCGCCCTGCCCACCGGCCCGCCCGCCCGGCTTAGCCGGGTCTCCCCCACCTCGAGGATAGCTGGGAAACAGGCGCCCATATAGGCCAGAGTCCCCAGGGGCGAGGCGCTGACAACGCCTCTTAGCGATTCTTCTGGGTAGGGAAGGAGGACCTGTGCTGGGGAGGTGCGGCCTCCACAGCTCAGCGGGCCCTTGAGGCCATCCGCACTTCCCCGTTGCAGGGTGTGGCGGGTCAAGACAGAAAGAGACAAGGGGACCCTAGACAGTAAAAAGGCCACAGGAAGCTAGAAGGCGCACGGCTGGGGCTAGAGCAGTCGAGCCTCCTGATTGGCGCCAAAGCCGTCAGACAAGCCAGGCGGCCGCTGATTGGTTGTGCGGACTCCGGCACTGTGCGCAGCGTGAACGCTAATAACCCTGAAGGCCGGGTCTGTGACCGACAGTAACCCCGGCGGGAGGTGGGGAGGGCGCCGCGGAGCTCCCTGGGCGTCGGCCGCCCCGCCCCGCCCCGCCAGGCCTGGTTGGGTAGCAGAAGCTGCTCCCGCCGCGGCAGGCTGAACCAGGCTGGTGGCCTCTACGCAGAGCCTCCTCTTTCCGACCTCAGCAGGGCTGTGGAGTTTAGTGGGGGATAGGGGTGAGGACCGGAGCGTTGGAATCGCACAGAACGTTCTGTGCGACACGAATGGCCTCGGTGGGTCAGCGAGGTGGCAGCCTGACCTCCCCGCCACTGCGCACACTACCCTATTATTGGAAAAGGCACGACTGGAGGCTTTGGCCTGACGCTGGTCCCACCCTCTACTCCGGGGCCAGAGAGTCCTTTGAGGACTGGCTTTCCAGAGGAAGAGAGGAGGAAAGGGACGAATGTTTACACAGGGATCCCTTTCCTCCACCCTCCGCACCTCTCTCTGGGGTTACTGCGGGTCACAGACCTGGTACTGGGAGGTTAATAGCGTTCACGCCCCCCCCACCCAGCGTCCAAGGATGTGAGCAGCCAATCAGCGGCTGCCCGATGGCGTCTATGCTAATCAGGAGGCTCGGCGGCTCCAGTCTTTGCAGTGCTACTCCCTGCCAGCTGTCACCTTTAGGTTGTTGGTGGGAATGTAAATGCTGCTCAGCTGTTGTGGAAAACAGTTCCGCGATTCCTCTAAAATTTAAACAGAAAGTTGCCATATGACCCAGCAAACTTATGCCTAGGTGTATGTCTAAATGAATTGAAAACAATACTAAAATAATTGGACGCAATTATTGTCAACAGTAACAGCACTATTTGTCCACACCAAAAAGTGGGAACAACTCAAAAACTGTCCATTGATAGATGAATCAACAAATTTGTGTGGTATACTTAAACAATGGTCTACGAATCCACCATCAAAAGGAATTCAGTACTAATTTATGCTACTTTGAATGTAAAAGAACAACAAAAAAAACATACTGAGAGAAACAAGTCATACTATGAATGTCACATATTGAGGATTCCATATTGTGTTCTGGGATCATGAAAATATTTTTAAATTAGAGATAGTGGTCACAAAACCTTGTAAATGTACTCAATGCCGTAGAATTGTTCACTTTAAGATACGTAGGGTTGCTTTGCTTTGTTTTGTTTTTTTTTTGCAGTTCCAAAGATCAAATCCAGGACATCTCTGTGCCAGGCAAGAGATTTATTGAGCTATACTTCAGCCCTAATGTGGTTACTCTAATGTTAAAGGACTACTTCTTCAATTAAATGTATACATATTTAAAACAGACTTTATATGGAGTCCTTCTATTATCTATAATTCTCTAAGGAAGAAATAAGAATAGAACCATGAGCAATCCTGGGCCCAGCGCTGCCTTTTACATTCACTTTCCACATTATCCTCATTTCCTATTCTTATTTAAAAAGTCTTTTACAGCCTGGCCAGAATTGGCTACTCAGTGCTCCCCCTGAGAAGTGCTCAAGGTAAAGAGGGCCCCTTTGGCCTTTTTGAGAGGATTTGAGTCCACTCTTTGGCCCAAATCACAATGAGTCAGCACTGCACACATTGCCCCTTTGTGAGCCCTCTGTGGACTGGATGTAACTTACTGGGTAGGATAGTGGCGGTGGGGCTGACCTGGGTCACCAAAAGGGGAGGGTTCTTCTTGCTTCCAGCAACCCCTGATAGAATCTAAGCTCCATGGAGTCTGCCATTGGGGCCTGTGGTATTTGCCCTAAATTCAGGGTACAAAATTCTGTGCTTTGCCAGCATCATAGAAAATTAATTACAGGTCACAGAATAGGACTCCCATTCCCTCTGACATTTCTTCCAGCTTGTAGCAGAGATAGAACTTAAATGAAGGCTTGAGATTTCCACCATTTAATTGAATACCATCTGTTTAGGGTGAAGGAAGACATTTCCAGAAGAGGAAAACGCCCTGGAGGAGCTCAGAACTTAACAGAAGGGTAGAGTATGGTTGGAAAAGTAGAGAGGAAATGTCAGGTCTGTTTCTGTGGTAGAGAGAAGGGCTTAAAACTCAACTGGGATCAGTGTTCAGGTGGGTCAGGAGGTGAGAGAGCTGGGCTCTTGCAGAACACAGGAAGTTTGTGCAGTTTGTGCATGAGTTCAGCTCCTTGCCATTGGCAGCCAGGGAGGAGCTTTGCCTCTGAGTATAACTGAGTATCGCTGGCAGGCACTTGGATATAAGAGATTTGGGCCTGTCTCCTTTGTCTTCTACTCCAATCCAGGATAACCAGGAGGTCTCAGTTCTGGAGCTACACCACAACACCACTACCCACTCTCTCACAGCTTCTCTCCAGATCTGATGAGTCAGTAATAGCACCTGCTTCTGATACAGTGAGGTGATGTGCTGTCTGGCCTGCAGGGCAGTGCCTGTCCATAGAAATGTTGATATTGCTGTTATCATCATGTCCTCCAGTCTGGTGGACTGAGATTTTGGATTTCCTACTCAAAAGAAAATTGGATTTCTGTTTATGTTTGACCTAACCCCTTTTCACTAATATAGAACTTGGTATGGATTTTTCAACTACTATAATTTGATATACCAAGATTGTTATCTTAGACTTTATTACAGCAGCTGCCTTTTGTCATTTGGCTATGTTTGTCTCTTTGAATTTTGAGACTGGAGATAATATCACTGTAGAATTAAGACTTGATTTGTAGAATCAAGTCTTTTAGTCAAAAATTTGATTTTCCTCCCTGCTTCTTTAATCTGTTTTAGTTTGAATCTCAGCTACCACTAATGGTAAAAGTAATAAAATCCAAGGCACTTTTTTTCTCATACAATATTTGTTATTGAGATTCCATTCATATACCATAAAACAAGCCCTTTTTAATACTTATTTTTAGTTTTAGGTGGATACAATATCTTTATTTTATTTTTATGTGGTGTTAAGAATTGAACCCAGTGCCTTACACATGCTAGGTGAGCACTCTACCACTTGAACAACAATGCCAGGCCCCAAACTAGCCTTTTAAAAAAAAGAGTTCGAATAGAAGAAAAAATAATAATAAAAAAAATTTAAAAATTTAAAAAAGAGTTCAATTCACCCATTTTCAGTGGAGTCCTGCAACTACCACCACAACCTAATATTGAAACATTTTTGTCACTTCTCACACAAAACAGTGCCCATTAGCTGTCACTCCTCATTCTTCTCCCATGGCCCTCTGGCAGCTTCTAGTCTGCTTTCTGTCTCTATATTAATCTATTCTGGGCATTTCATATAAGTGGAATCATACAGATTATGGCCTTTTGTGTCTGACTGCTTGATCACAGAACAAACTTTTCAAGATCCATCATCATATCATGTATCAATACTTGGTTCTTTTTATGGCTAAATAATATTCTGTTGTACAAATATACTACTTTGTTGTTTATTTATTATTGTGTTCATGGATATTTGTGTTGTTTCCACTTTGGACTCTTACATAATCCAGTTCTGAACACTCATATGCAAGTTTTTCAGGCATGTATGCTTTCACTTCTCTTGGGGATGTACTAGGAGCAGAATTGCTGGGTCCTATGGTAGTTCTATGTTTTCTATCCTTTAAGGAATGGCATGTATGTTTTCCAAAGCAGCTGCATTATGTTAGATTCCCATCAGCAATTTATGTATAAGGGTTCCAGTTTGTTTACTTCCTCAGCAATAATTATTTTTCACTGTTTTCTTTATTATATTCAGGTATGAAGTGAAATCTCTTTGTGATTCTGAGTAGTATTTCCTTGATGGCTATTAATGTTAAGCATCTTTCCCTGTGTCTTTTTTTTTTTTTACCATTTGTATATTTTTTATAAATAAAATGTATATTCAAATATTTTCTCTTCTTTACCATCAGGTATTTGTCTTTTCATTTTTGATCTGTAGGGCTTGGGGTACAGCTCGTTGGTAGAGTGCTTGCCTAGCAGGCTGAAGCCTTGGGTTCAATTCCGATGAGAGTTACTTTTATATTCCAAGCACTAGACTCTGATCAAACATATGATTTTGCAAATATGTTCTTCCATTCTGTGGGTTGCACTTTTAATTTCCTGATGGTATCTTTTGAAGCACAAAATTCTCAATTTTGATGAAAGCCAATATTTAAAATTTTTTTGCTGCTTATGCTTTTACCATCACATCCAAGAAATTGCCCAACCTCAGGTTCATTACTTTTCCTCACTGTGACCAAAATTCTTGAGAAAAACTCATCATGGCAAGAGGGCATGACAGAGGAAAGTTACTTAACTTTTGGCAGTCAGGAAACAGAGAGGGAAGAGAGGGAACAAGGAAGTGGCTAGGAACAAGTTATAGTCCCCAAGGGTGTGCCCCGAAGGACCTACCTACTCTTTTCAACTAGATTCTACCTCCTGCAGTCTGTACCACTCCCAGCTATGAATTTCTAAATGGGTTAACCCATTAATAAGGTCAGAGCCCTCATGAACCACAATCACTTTCTGAAATTCTACCTTTGAAGTTTGTTTCATTGAGGAACAAGCCTTGAACTCATGAGCCTTTGGGTAATATTTTAAAATCAAACCATAATATTCCACCCCTCACGCCCAAAGAGAGGAATCAATTAGGGACAAGATATAGCCTTCCATGGCACAATCCCAATAACCTACTTTCTCCAACTAGGCCCCACCTCCAAATAATGTCTTCAAATTATTAATTCATAAATGGATTAACCCATTGATGAGGGACACCCCACACACATCCTTTGCAGCTGCCATGAGATGCGTAGCTTTTCTTTCTCACATCTTTCTGCTCTGATGTTTTGCCTTGCCTCAAGCCCATGTTTTGCCTTCCTACCATGGGCTGGATTCTCTGAAACTGAGCCAAAATAAATCCTTCTTCAAGTTGTTTTTCTTAGGTATTTCATCATGTTGACAAAAAAACAGATAAATATAACAGATGATGGAGATTTACACCAATATTTTCTGCTAAGAGTTATGTAGCTTGAGCTGGTGTACTTTCAGTACATGGTTTGAGATAGTGGGCCAACTTTCCTTTGTGTGTGTATATTCACTTGTTCCAGCTTTGTTGATAAATTATTCTTTCCCCATTGGATTATCTAGGCATGCCTGTCAAGAATCAATTAACCTTAGATGTATAGTGAATTTCTCCATTCCCCATTCTATTCCATTGATTTATTTGGCTTTATGCCAGTATTATACACACTGTCTTGATTAATGACTCTGAAGAAAGTTTGAAATCAGGAAATAAATGTCCTCCAAATTTGTACTCTTCTTTGTATATTTATTTTGCTGTTCAGGGTTCCTTGAATTTCCATATGAATGCTATGCTCTATTTCTCTAAAATATAAGTTGGAACTTTATGAGAATTGCCTTGAAACTTTAGGTCAATTGGGGAAATATTACCATCTTAACAATATTGAATCTTCCAATCCATGAACATAGTAGTATTTCTTGCCATTATTTAAATGTCCTTTTTTTCAATAGCATTTTGAAGTTTTCAATGTGGCATTCTAGGGCACTTTTTATTTTATTTACTTGGTTCATTTTGATCTTATAATAAATGGGATTCTCTTAATTTTATTATATATTATATATTGCTAGTTTATAGAAATAAAATTGATTTTTATATGTTGATATTATCTGATAGCATTGATCAACCTATTAATGACCTTGAATAGTTATGCATGTGTTATTTCTTTAGGATTTTGTAAAAACAGTCATTTCATCTGCAAATCGAGATAATTTTACTTTTTCCTTTCCAATCTAGATGCTCCACATCTTTTTTCTGTCCTATCAGATATGTTTTAGGGACCTTCCTGGTTCTACCCCTTTGGAGGGGGGAGAAAATTGATGGCCATTGAGCTTAAGGTATTTTATTTCTATACTCTTCTTTATTATAATCTTAAAGTATTTTTTGTCCTTTTATGACATAGTTTAATCTTGATTCCCATATGAGACCCTAACTCTTTATACATTCTCACATAAAACATGTTAAAACCAGAATGAATTACTCTGCCTATTGGGAGTTTTTTCTACACATGGGTGTATATTATATGGGTTAGCTCATCACTTTCCCCCCACTGAATCTTGATTAGACTGAACTTGTTCATTAACTCTTTTCTAAGATAATTTGCTTTTCTATCCACTTACTTTTTGGAATGTTTGCAAGTAGGAATAAGAAACCTCCAAGATGAAGTCACAAGTGTACAAAATACACGTTTCCTGGAAGCAGCACAGAGATGTGTTTAATCAGTGAGAAGACAACCAGGTGTGGCATAAATAAGAAAGGAAATAAGAAAGAAACAAAGAGCAGAGTAAAGATGCATTGTTAAAATTGGATACCAGTTCCTGGGAAACTAAGTGGAGACATTGAAAAGACAGAAGTTCTGATACTGAAAAATACATATTCTCGCCTGGACATTTTAAACAAAAAGGGAAAGGGACTCAAATTAGGAAGTCAGGTATTAATTAATGAAGTCAATGTCATTATCAATTTAAGATAGCAAGATCTGGCAGAACTCAATGTGTATAATCTTTTGAGTTTGTAAGTTCAGAATTGGTTCAGAGTAATACTCTCAGTAATTCCTCTAAGAGTCAAGTTTCTTGTACATGAGGAGGGCAACTTTACTGCCCTTAGCCCACTATCAACTTAAGTGTTTATTCCTTTTAATTTAAAAGCCTCGGTGTTTATACCTTTTAATTTTAAAAAAATGTTTTTTAGTTGTACATAGACACAGTACCTTTATTTCATTTATTGATCCTCTTGTGTGGTGCTGAGGCTCAAACCCAGTGCTCACACATGCTAGGCAAGTGCTCTACCACTGAGCAACAACTCTAGCCCTACCTTTGACTTTACATATTCAGAATTTTGGAGTTCTGTTAGAATGACTGATAGTCATGCTTGTCCAAGATGAGGGCATCCTTACAACAGGAAGCAGGGTGAACTGGCAGAGCTGGTTCTGACAAACTCTTAGAAGCCTAGGTATACTGGGAGCAGTGGTACATCCCTGAAATACCAGCTGAGGGGATGATGCAGGAAAAACCCAAGTTTGGGCCAGCCTGGTCAGCCTAGGGAGACTCTTTGTCTCAAAATTAAACATTTTAAAAGGGTTGGGGATGTAGCTCAGTGGTAGAACACTTGTCAAGCAGACACAAGAGCCTGGGTTCAATCCTGAACACTGCAAAAAAATTAAATGTAAAGTATGTTTTTCCACATGAGGATTCTCCAATAAAGTAGAAAACATTTAAAGTAAAAACAAAGCAAAACAAAATCCACCTTTTCCACCTTGTGATCATGAAGCCCTCTCTATTCTAGAACTGTACACCCTTCCCTTCGGTGGTTTCCTTCTTCCTACTGTTGTGCATCAGCAGTCAGGAAGCCATTTATTCTTTGGAGGCCAGGACTTTCCAGGAGCTGCACTGTCCAGCCTGGGTTGCAAGAGAAAGTTTTGTTTTCCCAGGCGGTACTTCTGCTGCTGCTCCAGGTCTTTCCCAGGAGCTCTATCTTAGTGACACATGGAGAGCTGGCATTTCCCCAGGCCTTAGTGCCAACTGGTGGCACATGTTTGATTTAATAGGAGCAGACATCTCCTTTCCTGTTGCCCACAGTTTAACCTAAAGTTAACTCTTAGGAAGGACAAGGCAGGTTATTGGGGTATGATTCAACCCCCGAAGCTTCTACTGTTTTTTTTTTTTTTAATTTCTTTTAAAGGTTCAGGGAACATATAAGATGATGAGCCATAGTAATAGGTCCTAGGAGACTACAACAGTCAAAAAGCTCCAAGGCACAGTGCAATCAGATTCACATCAATTTTATTAGAACAAACACAACCTCAGATCAAAACAACTAGCTTCAAAATTGATATTAATGAAAATTATTCCAAAAAAAAATTCTTAGGTTACAAATAATTACTATTTCACATAAGGAAAAATCTTACCCAAGGAAGGAAAAGGTATCCTGCATTTATTTTCATAGCAGTGAGTACACATTCTCAAAATTTTGTCTGGCTAATTATCCAACATTTATCAACTGCATTCATTCAATCTCTCAAGAGGAGGATGTAGTCTAAAATCATCCAGAACATGGTACACGTCAAGTCCATGGTGGATACTGCTATAATAAAAACATGCAGGTTTTGAAAATTCCTCTGCTTATGCCAAAATGCTTTAGTAGAAGCATTACTCATGCCTCAAACCTGTCCATTGAGGTAGGTCAGTTTTATTACCCCATTTTAAGAGAAGGAATACTGAGGCACATTATAAATGACTTGTCCAGTGCTGTGGTCTGAATTCATGGGATGGACACTTCATCTCCAAAGCAACAGCATTGAGGTGGAACCATTAAGAGGTGATTAGGTCAGGAGTGTTCTACCCTCGTGGATTAATGTCCTTATCTTGGGAGTGGATTCTTTATTGTCAGCATAAGTCTGCTTTTAGAGTCACATGGTCAGTGGCATACTGGTAGGAGGCCCTGACCTTCACAACCAGTATAGCATAGCTACCTTGCTTTCTTTTCACATCAACCCACTTCTGTTACATTTACAGAGAACACACTTGGAAAAATTGCAGACTGTTAAAACTTCCATTTTAAACACTGTAACCTTTTAATTAATAAAGGTATAAATAAAATGTTCAAATTATTTCTACCCTCCATCAAACGTGATTAATAAAAACAGCCCTAAGAAGTTTACAAAATGGAGCCCAGAAGGGAATCCTTCAAATCGATGTATTGATAATCCTCCAAGTGGGCCAGTTTTTACATCTGCACTGCTGCAGGCTCTCAGGTGTTAAGGGACTCAAGAGGGAGCAAGGGAGGCTCACGTGTAACATGGATTAGAAAAGAGGTAAGGCACCTGAATAAATTGTCAGCATTAACCTTTACAAATTCACTCTTGATCAGAGTTTCTTTTAATGTGTCATTGAGCTTTAGAATCTTGAAAAGTGTTCTTTATTGAGTCAATCTACCACTACCCCCCACACACATATCCTGCACCCTCAGTCCAAGGTCTCCATCCTCACTTTTGTAGGGACATGGAATAGATCAGATTCGTGGGACAGAATTAAAAGATAATGAGAAAAAATTGAGGGTTATATCTACCTGATGACCTGCAGAGAAGAAACAACCCAAGAGACATATTTGTGGGTAGGCACACAAGTCAGCAGATATGATCTATATGATCTTCCATAAGATTCTTTTCTGCTTTAATGAACAGTTCAAAGCAAGGCTGCCTTAGTGCAGGCTGGTCCCTTTAGCCTCAACTCAATTAACACAGGAAGAAAGTTCCTGCTTCCTCCCAACATCAGGCCTCAACAATGGACAAAGCATTTGGCATTGTACACTGTTAATCCTGGTAAGAGCAAAGCCAGGCTTCCACATTGATGACGGAGGTACAGGGCAGGAAAGGCCCATAGTCTTTAAACTATTGACATTCTGTTTCTCCCCCCACAGACTTCTATCCTATTGTTTGCCTGGCTGTGTGGTAGGGGATGTCGGTTAAGTTTGCTAAACACACACTCTTTTCAGCAAAATTCATGCCATCTCAGATCCCACATTTAAGCCAAAGCTTTGCAGCAGACTCTGGCTCCTGGTAGGGGCCTCCTTTCAAAGTGAGAACCAGGTGTCCTCCTCTTCCTGTAAGAATCACACTGAGCATGCTCTCTTATGTCCTAGGAAGGAGATTTTCAACAAACTCTGCTTTCCTCCATGGTCAGCTCACTGGCACAACATGGGCATTTGGCTTAGCTTTTTGGAAAGTGAGCCTGTGTGAGCCAGGAAAGTTTTGAGAGGGTTTTCTTAAGTTATCAGTGTGGCAGAGGCACATAGGGTGGAGGTGAAGAGGATCTGGAGGCCACTTCAGTTCAGTGCCCATGAGCAATGTGTCTGCAGAATAGGGTGTTGCCTGGATAGGAAGTCCTCACTGCCCTGAAGACACATAGGAGGCTGTGTCTTTAATGAAAAAAGGAAGTATAAGAGAACCAGTAAAAATGACAGATGGAGTAGAGCCAGGAAACAAGATGGATAAAAGATCATCATACCCAAACCCTGCCACAGGCAGTCCTGCCAGTGTTGTCTGGATGGTCACAGAAAAAGGAATGCATGAAGGGGCACAATAACAGGGAAGGAAACCTAGGTTTTATTCTATGTAAGGAAAAACTGTAATGAATGAACCTACTATTTAACTTAGTTCACTAGAACACCCAACAAATCACTCAGCAGCTTCTGAACCCTCTGACAATGTGCTGTCAGAGTTCTTCCTTTGGAAAGTAATCTTTCAGGAGCTGCCTAGAGACCCTGCCCCTCAAACTGTCCATCTCCTGCCCAGCAGCGGGAGGAATGGTTAAACAATAGGTTCTCTTGTCCTTCAAGCTACTTTAGTATTTCTTTTTCAGAATGAAATACTCCCAGTGAATATTTTCATGCTGCAATACAAATTATGTCTATACACGTTTAACTTTGACCCAAGTTCACCTGCTAAAATCTTTCCATTGTTGGATGTTTGGAAATGCCACAGCCATCCTATCATTACAAGGGCAGTGACCAAAATCCTGAAGATAGCACAGCAGAAGATGAAAGAAGTTGAATGAGAATCCTCAAAATTCTATTAACTGTTGCTGTATCCATCACTTCTGGACATGGTTAACCTGACAACTTGTTTGTGTATGAAATAAGAAAATGTCCTTGTTATAGAGGGGGAAACGTCCTTCCCCAGCAGAGACCACGTTTTCTAAGGATGAAATGCTTCCCATTTATCCTCAGTCTAAACTATATTGAGACATTGAGATGTGCTGCGGTAATTTAATTGCCAACCTTCATGGCTACTCTACCAATCAGGAGAGAAAGGACGCAGTAGAGAGACTCTAGGTCTCTGCTAAGTAGGCAGCTGGGTCTGACTACAAAAAGCTTTCCCACCTCAACCACATCCTTACTTACAAATCATACCCTGCATGCTCACTCTCCCCTGATGAATGACCTGATTTGCAAACTCTGTGACAAAGTTATTTTCACCTTCCATCTGGCAAAGCGTGGGATGACAGTAAATGGGCACTTTTGAGAAGATTTTGTTGCATATCTAGCTAGAGCCACCAATCTGGAAGCTCAGGAGAGATCAAGAAAAGAGAGTTAACTGTGGCAAAGATCTTTACTTTTAGACTCTAGAAAAGACTGTTGGGTTTTTACAATGGACACTAACTTATGGCTGATCAGATGCTTGCCTGGGAGGCAATGAGGGATTAGAGAAAGGAAGGTGATAGGAACCAAGCAAGGCAAAGGATAATGGGAATAGAAGAGAAAAAAAAAAATCAGCCTAGCTTCAAAGAGGGGACTTGTTGCCTTTCAATACTTGCGCATTTACAAGAATACTGTACTAGAGTGGGTTAAGGTCATCGTCTTTAGCATCTGGGAAGCATTACTCAGTAGTTAATAAACAGAACATTAAACCTCTGCCCAGATGGCTTTAGAAAGGGAACCTGGACAACCCCAAACTCAGGCACTCTTGTGGCTTCCATCTCCAGTTCTCTTAATCCTGGCCAGGACGGCGGTCTTGGATACTTTCTTCCTGTCATAAGCCAGGCCGAGGACAGCCATGCAGTCGATGAAGAACGTGGTAAAGTTGATGTGCCAGCGGTACTCACTGGCAGAGTAGTCATAGGGGAAGGTGTGGTGGTAGTTGTGGAAACCCTCACCTGGAACAAACCAAGGAGAGAAGTTATGAAATCTCGGTGGATTGACGTTTTCCTCATCTTGGCAACATCTTACCCAGCAGCACACTACAAACCTCAGAGAAAGCTGTTGTTGCCAAGTGAATGGATGAACCCTGTGTCTTCTACTCTGAATCACATGCCCTGAGACATCTTAAGAAATGAGTCAAGGGAACTGGGGCTGTGGCTCAGAGGTAGCACGCTTCCCTAGCAGGCATGAGGCACTGGGTTCGATTCTCAGCCCCACATACAAATAAATAAAATAAAGGTCCATCAACAACTAAAAAATATTAAAAA